GGGTTTAATATTTTTCCTAGAACTTTTTTTTTTTTTTTTTTTTTTTTTTTTTTTTTTTTTTTTTTTTTTTGGAAAAAAAAAAAAAAAAAAAAAAAAAAGAAAAAAAGAGCAAGGTCACAAGTTTTATCAAAGCCCAATGACTCACCAGATATTACTCCAATGGTGTTAGATATCATAAACTGAATTCATGCATTAATTGCACTAAAGAAGCAGTGATTGTCTTAGGCAGGGTAAAGATCACCACTTTATAATTGGAGAACCAATTTAGACACTTTCAGCAAGGGGAAAGCTGAGTAAAAGCAGCTATCTTTTAATGTCTCTCTTTGGGATACCTGTTGCTGCTGTTGAGCCAAATGAGGTAGCAATGGAGACCAGGTGTTTTCATGAACTGGAATATTAACCATCTCTTGACACACTAAGCAAAATCTCAGACACTCAGCCCACAAAAGTTCACATTAAAATGTCCAAACCTGTCATATTATACTCGAGCAGAGAATCACACTAAAGACCTTTCTTACAAAAATTCCTAATACTTTTGGTTTTAATCATCCAAGGCTGAAAGTCTCTGTCCCTACCCAATTTTGCCCTAACATAATCTCACATCAAGTTTTACACAAAAAAATCAAAAATATGTATATGTCAAATTTTAAAATCCTAGGATTCTTATAAATCGTTTTAACTAAAAAGTCTAGGATAACATACCTTCTTCACAGCTATTTATTTGTCTATAGTTCTTATATGCTATGCCTATATGTTGTATCTCCACATTCAGATTGCCAACAAGAAAAGGAGAGAGCTCAGACAACCACCATTCACAGTTAAAAGTAAAAGTGTAGAATGAAATGAACAATTCAATTAAATTATATTAAACTTATTGTAGGACGGCACATGGAAGTATACTAAGACATGAAGAAATATTTAGTGTTCTTTGCAATATGCATTTATGAATGAAATTACTCAGATTCCACCTATGAAACCTTTGCAAAAAAACCACTAAATCACATTATTGTTTTCTAGCCTGTGGATGCAGGACTTGCATACCTGTTCTTTAACTGAAGCTAGAATGGCAGAGGTTGTCTCAGTTTCAGAGCCATCGCCATTGGATGTGTTCAGCACAGGACTAAGGGAACTTGTCTTGTCAGAAGACGAGGGCTGGTCTGGAACAGGCATAGTTTCTGCAGTTTATGGAAAAACAAAACAATGATTTTGGTATTAGAAACTTGACACATATCAGAAATCATATGCATATAAGAATAATAACACCAATTTAAGCAAAAAATTGTAGAACACGTTTCTGTTCTGTAATATAGAATTAATATATCACTTATCTAAATCTAGTTCTAAATCAATTATAAAACAAAATATTAAATGATCTCCCAGTCTTACTCCAAAATATACACCGCAGTACATTTGGAGAGGATTCAAATAATTTACAGCTGTGATTTTTGTATAGCATTCCAGCAGCAGCATCCAACATGAAATTACAATATCATGAAAGTAATGAATCATGAAATGCTTTGCAAACAGAAAACCAACAAAGGACACATGAGAGAAATATAAAGCATCCAGTGTTGACTTTCTAATGTGCGTGATTATTTAATATGTATTATATTTTAAGTCTAGGTAACTAACTTCACCTTTCTTCTAGTCTAGAAGGTCATCTTGACAACATTTTATCAAAGTATTTTTCAGAAAAAAAGCACACTAGTTGTTAAGCCATTTTTTTTAGAGCTGTTAAAAAACCCCAAAGATTCTTATCACTTTCACAAATTTCTAGTATTCTTTTTTAGAGAGGAAAATGGTGGTGGTGACTCTGGAAAGATTTTTCTTTCTGAAGGCTAAGCTATAGTCTAGCATCTCTGTTTAAATGTCACAACAGGCACATCTCTGCAGGCAAGTTGTGCCACATTCCCAAAGTAAAGGAGCAGAGAGGCCGCTTGCATGGTTATGCGCAGGCAAGTTCGGCTGAGACCACGTTCATGTGGGAGCTGGCCAGAATTTTTCGGTGGAAGAGAACTGGTCCCCAGGCTGCCAGCTGGAAGGCTCTCCTAAAGAGCAGCGGGGAGATGCAGAGGGATGTCATCAGAGGGGTCACGTGCACTGCACTCGCCATCCACATCAATGGCAAAGCTCCTGCCTTGGCTCTACTCTGCTTTTCAAAGCCCATGTTTTTCTAAAATAGAGCTTTTTATGGAAGAAACAAGAAGTTTTAAAAGAGTGGGAAAGGGTAGCTGGTAAAAGCAAATATAAAATTCAATACACAGAGCAAGCATCCTCGCACCAATTCACTATGGATATTAGGGCTCTAAAAGGGTAGATGACATTCTATAAAGCTTTGGCTCCGAAGCTGCTGTGCTGCCCAAGAACACAAGAACACTCATTCTGCCCAGCTGGGTAGCTTTTTCCGAAAGCTTCCTGAAGCTCAGGGCACCGGCATACATACGCAAGACAAAAACATGAAAATACAGATTATTCACAAAAAAAGAGTCAGTTATTTCTCATACGAGAAGTCTCCCTAAATCTCAGGCTAGATTAGTTTATATATTGAAGCATGAGATTATATATTATTCTGATTAAAGAAGCTACATATTTTCATACAGCTCACTTTTTGTAAGCAAATCACTGAAAACAGTAAATAATGAATCTCTGGCTCTGGTAATGTCCTTGTTCCAGATACGTATGCTATTTGAAGTTAATCTTTAAAAACTCAGATGATATACCTGTCTCCTTCTATCACAAGTACAAGTATACTGCAGAGAAGTTCTATGTGATTCCAATACATAAATCTAAAAGGACTTATGAATTCCACTTTCTTATTTTGTGAAATAAAGGAACCAGCTTCTATTATAACAAGTTACCCAGTCTGTGGCATACAATTAAAGTTGCCTCTCTTATCCTATAAAGTACCACAGAAAAGACATGTACACACATACATATACATGCTTATTCTATTATCTTACTTTCAATCTAGTTATTTTCTTCTTTGACTAAATTATCAATTGCACTATCATAGTAGAAAGCAAAGCCATTTTCTTGGTATTGCAATTTACCTGAAAAAACCACAAATGGCTTAATCATTCATTTTGTAGAGCTGTATTTGCAGAAAACAGCGGAGCACAACCCTCCTTGCTATCAACCCCATAGCCTGTAAAGCCCACCCGAAAATTGTGTACAGGAACAAAAGAGACCACCTGATTTGGGAACGTGAGTAAAGACAGTGATGGGAAATGGTCCCACCACCATTGCAGGCACTCACCTTGGGTGGTGGGGAGCCATGCTTCCCAGTAGGGGTGGCTCACCAGGGAGACACATGGAAGCACAAGCGCATGAGGTGCAACAAACTGCCTCCCCAAGACTGTGCCGGGTTGGGAAGAAACACCAGAGCTGTGAATGAGATGCCTGCCAAACAGTTTCAGACACACTGGCCGACAGCAGCTCCCCTGCTGCGGGATTGCCTCCTTCAGTTGGGAAGATGCTTTCTGGAAAAAGCTCCTTTTGCCTGCTCCACTCAGCCTCCTGCTCCTCCAGCCCTGTCTCACCCCCGGCAAGGAGATCCTGCTCAGTAGGCCTTTCCATAAACACTAGCCGCAGGAGGTAAAACCCAGCAAACTAAAACAGACTAAGAGTCAAGTACTTGCTCCCATGTCTGCAAGTAACTGTCATTTGAGGCCCATTTAAATTTTCCTCTTCACTTGAAAATGAAGAGGACTTACCTGCTCCCCCCATCCCCAGGCCCCTACCACAACACACCATTACTCGGCCTGACTGGGAAGACACAAACACCACCTCAAAGGCCTCTGGCTGCAATCAAGGAGACCCTCATTTCCCTCTTGCACATCTCTGTATTGGGTAAAAATGCCAGGGTTTTGGTAGGTGCGTGTTTGGGGACAGGGGGTGCTGCGGGGCTGACCTCGGTCGGAGGACCTCACACATCACCTCACCAAAGGGAACAACTTCACATGTAGCGAGGGGATGGGACACTGGGATGGGACACCGGGATGGGACACCGGGATGGGTCACACACAAAATCACAGAATGGCAGGGGTTGGAAGGGACCTTCAGAGATCATCTAGTCCCACCCCTCTGCCAAAGCAGGTTCACCTAGAGCAGGTTGCACAGGATTGTGTCCAGGCGTGTTTTGAGTATCTCCAGAGAAGGAGACTCACATCTCTGGGCAGCCTGTTCCAGTGCTCTGTCACCCTAAAAATAAGAAGTTTTTCCTCATGTTCAGATGGAATTTCCTGTGTTCCAGCTTGGGTCTGTTGCCCCTTGTGCCTGTCTGGTTTTGTTCCATGGTCCTGTCTAAGAGCAAATCCAAGTGAGGCCCACTGAGGCATGGTGGGTTTCTGTTGCTGCTAGAAGGAAGATGGGTGAGAAATGAGACTGCCCGAGTTTCTGAAAAAAAAATAACAGCTACACAAAATGCTTGCCATAGCACAAAAAACCCCAAACAACTCCTCCAAAATATCTAAAGTGTTTTTGAGAGGGACAGCAAGGCCGCATGGCCAATGGGGAAGCTGCTCAGTGACCAAAGAGACACTACTGAGAAGACAACACCAGTTTCTTTGTGTTGAAAGCAGTTAGGCCCCTTCAATACAGGCAGCAACTGCCTCATACTATTCTGAACTTGTTTTGGGACTATATTCAACTTCTGTTAATTTGCTTTAGTAATCTACAATTTTGCACGTATCAGTTTACACAGAAAAAAATTAATACCTGATTACAAAATTAATTGCTGCAATAACCTGTACTTGCTTCAAATAGGCTCAAAATCTGGACAGAACAGTAGCTAATATTTGACAACCAATGCATGATTCCAGTATGTTGGTTTTTTTTAAAATATAGATATTAAAAGAGGAAAAGAAAAAAAAAAAAAAAAAGAAAAAAAAAGAGAGAAAAAAAGGCACACTACATGTCCTCTGCATCTAGAAACAGAGAAATCAGAAGAAATGCCACTGGCATTAAAATTAATGTTTTGTGAATCTATTAAAATTCTGGATAGCGAATGTAATTTCTAACATCTATCTCATTAGTTCAGTTTATTACTTCAGTTGTTTGCTGGAAAACGATTGCAGCCAGTTGCACTTAGCTGGTATCATTGAATCTACAGCATGATGTTATCCAGCTGAGCTGTTACCATTACATATTTTAACATTTTTTTATTACACAAATACAGAAAGGAAACACAGAATGAGTTTTCAAAGGCAACAGAGAAGCCACTGTACGGAAGGTAGTTATATTTTAAAAAGTATACACAAATCAGCAACAATGTTTCAACAGTAAACACCAACGTAGCAAATGCCTGCACTTGCCCTACTCCGCCTGCTCAGAGTAGGTACACCTTTTAATTTAGCCTGGTCGTCAGTATAAGAAACTGCACATTCTCAGGTTTTGAAAGGACTTAAAACTGCCAGTACTGTAGAATTACAGAAAATAAGGGTGAAACAGGCCTCCAAGACCCTTAACTACTACCAAATTTCTAGATAAGGCAGATTTCTTTTTTTTTCCTAAGTCATTCTGAATCCTTAACAGTTCTGAATCCTTAACAGTTCAGGGCTCCACTGCCCTTACCAGTAGAAAATTTGCTTTAGTGTTTAATATAATACACTTAAGCTCAGTGTTTCCTGTACTATCCAGCATGAACACAAAAAAAATTATTCCATCAGACGTCTTCAAAAAAGCATTTCCCCACATGATGATGACCACTGTTCCTTCTCCTCTGGCTTCTCTTCTCTAGAAAAGTTACCCCAACTCTTTACATTTTTCCCTCATAAAATAAGATGGCTGATAGCTTAGCACTAAAAGCAAAAGGAAAATTAGAGCAAGTAGGAGAAGAAAAATAAAAATTAAGCATCTTAACAGAGTAAACACAGTGCTGAGTAACTACAAAACAAAAGTAAATAGGCTGCATTTAATTTCCACCAGAGCAACACTATTTCCTATTGGTACCACAAAAATACAAATGAGATTCTATAAGTCAGAGCATATACACACTCCTGAGAGAATCAAATTAAAATCTTAGACGATCATAGATAGATGAACAGGAAAACTACTACCAGCCTTTTGGGAACATACTGAGAAGATAGACATAAATAATTCATGGATTCCTGTACTCCACAGAGCAGGAAAAAGACTATCTGGAGTTTGACCCTTTTTGTTGCTGTTGTTGTTGTCT